ATATACTTTAAGAGTATATATTAATTCATTTTAGGAAATTACACATGAACTAGGCTTAATTTTTAGTTATAGACATATTCTGAAATTATTATTTATTACATATTCTGAAATTATTTATTATTTAAAATTTTAGAACTATAATAAATAACAATTTAGAACTCATGAGTATTTTTTCTTTTAAAGAAATATATTAAACCTGCCTAAACTAGTTTGGCTCAGTGGTAGAGGGTCGGTCTGCGGACTGAAAGGTCCCGGGTTCGATTCCGGTCAAGGGCATGTACATTGGTTGCAGGCACATCCCCGGTAGGGGGTGTGCAAGAGGCAGCTGGTCGATGTTTCTCTCTCATCGACGTTTCTGGCTCTCTATCTCTCTCCCTTCCTCCTCTCTGTAAAATATCAATAAAATATATTTTTTTAAAAAGAAATATATTTAAACCTAACAGTCATTAGGGACATAAAAAATCAATAATGTACACATTAAAAAAAAGACAGGTGATATTTTTATCTGAGCATTTTATAAAGGAGATGCAAAAATTGGCAATCCTTTGAGAAATGCCATTTAAGCTCAAGCTTGTTTTGGCCATGTCTCTTGCCGGATGCTTTTTTACAGCATTGACGAATTGGTGATCAGTGTGTACATACTTTAAAATAGCCATAATCCCAAACATAATCTATACCACAGGCTCCCAAACTAAGCACTGACATGCCATGATGGTGGCACAGGAACTGGAGGTATTTGAAACAGGAGGTCAATAACTGGATTGATTCTCCTTACTGGAAATGAGTAATTATTCTCAAGTTCACTGATTACTAATGCAATAATTTAAGTAATGGTCGTAAGTAAAGATCACAGGCTAAGGGTGTCCTTTTAGGTGATCCCTGCCTTTCAGTTTCCTGCTAAAAACCCAACTAGTCCAGATAAGGGGCACACAAGAAAAGGGGTCGTGAGTGGTAACAGCACTAAAACACTGGGGAGAGGGAAAAGGGGATTGGAGAAGAACCAGGAGAACGCATAAGGACCCATGGACAGCCGTGACAGTGCCCAGGCGCGGCCACCGTATACAGGAAAGGAAGCTGCCCTATTGGTAGGGCTAAGCTTGCAACAAGTCTTGAAAGGGACTCCCCACCCCCAACCACTTTCCCCAGCCACTCACTCTCCCTGGCCTGACAGTCACGCACAAATATTTTAATAGCAATGCCTTGCATCTAGAGATTAAAGGCCTTATACAAGGGCTGTAAAAAACAAATCAAACAAGCATTGTTTTTGGATGTAGATTAGACGAGGAGCTCAGGAGGGGAGACATGGGCAATCCCTGTGATTAGTCCTGTGATCTTCACGAGCCTCCTTCTCCCCTCTCCCACGTCGCCCTGCACCCTGCGCTCATGTTCCCGGGCCTTGTTCCTGCCCAAGTCCTTCCCCTCTCCAGATTCTGTGGGCAGGCACGGGCTCATTGTTTATTTATACTATCTCAACTATTGCTTATCACATTATTTTTACTTCCTAGCATCCCAAGAGAGTGATCACACACAAATAAAAACTGTTTCTGAAATCTATACTGGCATAGCTCAACGGATAGACTCAAATAGATGTACACATCGGTATATTTAGACATAGTTGCACCTGTATGAGATAAGATACACATGCTTAAGTGTTAGAAACACGTAAAAAATGTCCTCTCTGCCGCACACATAATATCGTTAGCTAAACAATGTGATTCGTTCTAATTAAATAACCACTGTGAAATACCTGATTCACTTTGCACCCGACAGCTGGGTTCCCAGCCGGGGCTGAGCATAAGCACAATAGGAAAGGCAGAAACAGCTGCAAACTCTTGGAAGAAAACATTTGTAAAGCGACTCTGCCTTTAGGCTGCAGGGGAGGAAGGAAGTAAAATCATTTTTCTGTTCCTTTTTATGGATGGCAGCTGTTTTTTTTTTTTGGGGGGGGGGGAAGAAATCACGTCCATTCTATTCTGTAACAGAGACTCCACAGTAATACTAAAACCCGAGTCGTAGAACGTTATGCCCAGCCACAGATTTAGCACATTAGTGCAGTCAAAACATTTACAGAACCTCGTCAGCGGCTAGATTAGGCTGGAAGGTCCCCTGGTCTTTGCGATCCTGCTGACTCCTCCCCTGACATTATTTGCTGTAAACACACTGGATTTCAGTGATATTGACTGTTTGATCCTTTGAGTGTGTTAGGTTTTTTTTAAATAAAAATTTAATGGGGTGAAATTCTCTTAGGCGAGTGTTAGAGAAACAGATCCTCTGTGGATGTCAACAGTCCTTTGTCGTGTGTCTTTCTGGTCTTGGTCTCTAGTTTAGTCTTTGGATCTCCCGTACCGAAATGTTAGTTTCTTAAAGGCAGATCTATGATTTGCCTAGAAAAGCGAAGTTAGTAAGCTCCTGATACATAGTTGATGAATGAAGAGCCACCTGTTTTGTGTTGTTTTTTTAAAATCAGTGATATCAGTACTTTATATAAATTAGTTTCTACTTGTTTGCTAATTTTTATTTCTAATGTGTTGGATGTATAGCTAATGGGCTTCTTTTATGAAAACGCAGGGAGGTAAGAATAAAATATTTGCCACAGCATTGCTGTTTTAATGAGCCTGGCGATGCGTGACATATCTCTTGAGTGGTGGAACCTGTCACACAGCAGAATCTCTCCAGTTGTTAAAGCAACCTGTCTAAAAATGGGGTTTTATTAGAGCTTCAGAATCCTGAAATAGTCCAGGAGCCCTTTGAGGTAAAAAAAAGTGTCAGACCTAAAAGTATCTGTGGAAAGTTTGTTAATACGAAACTGGATTGGTGAAATCATAGACAATCTAGAAAAAAAGAAAATCAGAAATAAAGATAAAGGGAAACAATGAATATAGTGAATACATGAGGAATTCAATAGATGTTAGGTTCCTTCAACCTCCTTCAAATCTTTTGGAATTCTATAGAATAAAATCAATGTTAACTAAAAAAAAAAAAAAATACAAGCACAACATAATATCAAACATTTTATAAGGTTAACAGGTGAGATCATATTTCAAATACCTTAAAGTGCTTGTTTGTGTGGGACAGGACTGGGCACCCCTCCTTCAGATTCTGAGGCGCTAAGGACAGAATGAGCAGTCTGTGGTGGTGAGTAAAACACTAGGCTGGGAGAGAGGGGGAGGGGATGAAACGGTGCACTTAGCTGAGAGGCCAGGGGAGGAGGGGATTCTAAGTGTGGGACTATTTAGATAACAGGGTCTCTAGGATTTGCTTTGAGCTAGGAAGGCTGTATTTGTAAGTTTTATAACTTTGAAAAATTCCATCATGCCCACTAGTACAAGAAAAATACAAATTAAAATATAGCAATGACCAATATCCAGACTGTGATACAGATAGTGGTGATTTTTAAAAACGTTTTGTGAAAGATATAGATGGAGGATGTACAAAGGGGCAAGCCATAGGAAAACATCATCATCCTCAATTGGTTTACTAGACATCATTGTCTGAGGAGGATCTTAATTATCCTATCTAATAAAAGAGTAATATGCAAATTGACCATCACTCCAAGACACAAGATGGCCATTCCTATGTGGTCAAAGATGGCTGCCCCCATGTAGACACAAGATGACCTGCTGGGGAGGGCAGTTGTAGGCAGTTAGGGGTGACCAGGTCAGCAGAGGAGGGCAGTTGTGGGTGACCAGAGTGGCAGAGTAGGGCAGTTGTGGGGGACCCAGGACTGTAGGGGAGGGCAGTTGTGGGGGGACCAGGCCTGCAGTAGAGGACAGTTAGGGGGGGACCCAGGCCTACAGGGGAGGGCAGTTGGGAGGTACCCAGGCCTGCGGGGGAGGGCAGTTGGGAGGAGAACCAGGCCTGCAAGGGAGGGCAATTGTAGGCAATCAGGCCAGCAGGGAGGGCAGTTAGGGGTGACCAGGTCGGCAGAGGAGGGCAGTTAGGGACAATTGGGCTGTCTGGGGAGCAGTTAGGCATTGATCAGGCTGGCAGGGGAGTGGCTAGGGGGTGATTAGGCTGGCAGAATCAGGCCTAAATGGGATTGGGCCTAAATGGGTGGTTGGACATCCGTCAAAGGGTCCCAGATTGGAGAGGGTGCAGGCTGGGCTCAGGGACACCATCCCCCTGCACAAATTTTGTGCATTGGGCCTCTAGTATCAGATAATTATGAAAAAAGCATCTTTCTTTAGGAGAAAGAGTCCAACATTTCCATAGATGCCATTGTTATTCTGCATTAATTAAGAATCTAATAAGGAACTCATGTTGAAAATACTATGCGGTAACTATTAAAGCAGCAAAACAGTACACACAAGAGCATTTTAATTTCTGCAAGGCAATATGACTCTTGTACCTAGGAAATACAACTTCTGAAATGTTAACTTTTACTGTATGGAAATGCTGTTGCTATCCATTATAGCATTTCTTAAAACACACAGACACAGATTTTTCTCCCTTCAGTATTTAAACTTCTGTGTCTGACCCCATCCGTCATTTTGCAAAAGTCAGGAGAGTTGAAGTTACAATGGGATTTTGATGACAACTCCCCTCCTAACTGCTGCCAATATTTCTCAATGATGTGAATGTTTCTCCTCAAGGAGACACACGGTGCACACAATAGTGCTCCTTTGATCCTTAGCTTCCCTTCAAAGAGGAAAACATCGCCTGGAAGCACTGTAATTGTTTTGTTTTATTTTCCAATCATGTGATATAAATCATGAATGGAAAAGAAAAAAAAAAACAAAAAAAACCACCACCACCAAACCATTCTGGGCAAAGAAATGAAAAGCAACCGCATTGAAACCGGAAGCTTTGAGAATTCATTAAAAATAGGCCATACACTTCATAAAAAGTGGACCAGCCTTTATTGTTTTGCTGTCAGTCGGTGTCTCTAGTTTCCACTATGATATCCAATTTAGAATATTTGCAAATACCTTATTGCAAAAACCAAATTAACTGTATAACACCAGGTCCAGCTGACGCAGCCCCTCTCAGAAAGCGCGTACCTGCATGAAGCGGCCTTCTGAGGTCCCCAGGTTGGCGATGGTGAGCTCCCCTTTAATGAAGGTGGATATGGACGTTAAGAGGACATGGTTGAACTGGCCCATGAATAAGTCGACGCGCTGCAAAGCGGTAGTAAACTCTGTGCGATACTCGTCACTGTGCACTTCACAGCCGGATGAATTTCTCAGAAGTGTCTGGAATAAAATGTGATCACAGAATTAATGTGAGTCAAGATGCGAGTGAGCTATTAATGAACTTTTCAGTATGTCTTTTCAGAGCTTGGAGGGGAATGGCAAGAACTGTGCAAATAGACCCAGCTAGGCAGAAATATTTCCAGTGACCTAAATGGCTCCAGGACCGTGAGGCCTGTCGTATATGCATATACTCTGAACTGGGGGCAAACTTTACTCTCACAGTTTGTACCATGGATCATTATGTGCACAAAGATGAAACCTAGCTGGTATAATTAAAGAAAAACAAAACTGTAAATGTCTCAGTCCTTGACATAAAGGCAATGCTTCTAGCAGGCAAGTCTAATGAGATGAATTTCGACTGGAATAGTAATAAATGTTGGAGTCATACTTGGACATTATATCTTATTCAATTTTTTTCTTTTAATTCTCACTGGAGGATATGTTTGGTTTTAGAAAGAGGAAGGTGGGATGAGGAGGAAGGAAGGGAAGAAAGGTGAGAAAGAGAGAGGGAGGAAGGGGTTGGGGAAGAAGGAGAAAGAGAGAAAGGAAGAGAGAGAGAGAAAGAGAGAAACATTAATTTGTGGCCTCCTGTATGCACTCACTCCATCTGGGGACTGAACTTGCAGCCTTTTTGGTATACAGGACGATGCCCCAGCCAACATAAAATGCATAATGTATAAAGTATAATGTCCCCGAGCCACCCAGCTATGGCGGGACATTATACTTTAAAATGTGTGTCTTTGTGCATCTGTGTGCAGCGAGGTGGTGCAAAGTGGTGGCTGATAGATAATTCATGGAGAGGCACACAGCACAAACCCCAGTGCCTGCATCAAACCTGGTCCCTCATGCCTGTTTACTGTATGTAGTCCCTCCAATCTCTGTGTTTGTGAAACTCGTGTCATCTCTGCTTCTGTTCCCCCACCTCAAAAAGGAGAGAATTATAGAAATGTGCCTACCTTCGAGAACTGTCATAAATATTAAATGAGCTAGTTTATAAAAGTCCTTTATAGTAGGACCCAGCTTGCAGAAAACACCACTTACATATCAGTCATCATTCTAGTGAAAGGCTCAGAGCATGCCAATGCCATACGTCAAATGCCTCAGGAACCAGCTTACTAAAAGGCAATCACCACTCAATCAGGTATTTGTCCTTTAGGTTCAACTTCCAACGGAAGGATTTAAAAAAATAGTGTCCAATAATATGTGACAAGTAAGAGCTCCCTTCTCTTCAACACTTCAGTCCCCTGGTTTCCTTCCTACTTTTCAGGCTGCAACATTTATGTCTGTCTCCTTTGCAGGAAAATCCATGCCTGGCGGTCAGTGTTAGGGTTTCCAAGGCCCATCCCAGCGCTGCCCTTCCACTCACTCCTCCTGCTCTCCCTCAGGCAAGCTCAGTCTCTCCCGTGACAGCTATTGCTATGTAGTTGACACCTGTGGACCTCCAGACTACCTCTCTGCTCTGAGCTGACTGTGTGAAATTGCACTGTGAAACTGCACTCAAAGAGCTCAGAGACCTAAGCTAAACATGGTTAGTGTGGAAAACAGTCCTCCCCATGCCTAATCTTATGATAGGATGCACCCCAGTGCTCCACTATTCCTCCAGCTGCACAAGTCAGAAACTGAAGGGTCATCCCTGATTCTTTCCCATGTACAGTTCATTACCAATTCCAGTCAATGGTACTTTCTAACTATCTCTGGATCCATCTGGTTTTCTCTATCTCCACCACCTCAACCTTCCTCCAAGCTCTCCCTCCATCCCCCCACCCTCCCTGGACTTCCTAACTGGATCTGCCACGCCAGTCTTACTCAATCTCTTTCCAGTTCCAATCTCTATATTGCTGGCAGATTTTCTTCTTAAAACATATGTCTTACCATATAACTCTGTTTCAAACACTTAAAAATGTCTCCTTATTGCTCTTAGGCAAAGGACACGATGTTTGTGACCTCTAGGGCCCTGCCTCGTCTGAATCCTACCCGACTTCTCCACACTTAACCTGCAATGTGCTACCCTTTGCTCTCTGTGCCCCAGGAAGCTGGCCTTCTTTCAGTGTTCCACATGGACCACACGTCCTCCCATTACAGGGCCTTTGCACATGCTGTTCCCTCTGCCTGAAGCCCTCCTTCCACCTCCATGCACTCTGTTAACCGCTAGACCTCCTTCAGATCCCAGCGGGTCATCATTACTCTAAGAATTGGAATCCTTGATCCCAATTTGTAGGTCACCTTCTTCTATTTTGGTTATATGATTGAGGTGAGATTTCTCTAGGTGGCTCTCAGGAATTAGGGACCTGCTTGTTCACCACTGTGATAAAATGTGATCACAGAATTAATGTGAGTCCAGATGCGAATGAGCTATTAAGGACCTGCTTGTTCACCACTGTGATAAAATGTGATCACAGAATTAATGTGAGTCCAGATGCGAATGAGCTATTAAGGGCTTATAATATTATAGATGAAATATCTCTTACAGTAAATCTTCAGTGAATATTAACTGAATGGACAAGTAACTGAATCAATGATGGGTAGATGGTGGAGACATGAACTAGTACTATTAAAGCTTTAAGAGAGTTTATAAGGGATAGAGTGTCTGACTCCTGACTATCCTGACAAGATAGTTTCAAATTGGCAAATTTGAGACAGATAACTAGGAAGCAGGAAGATGTTTTAAGGAAAATGAAGGTTAACTTGGAAGAAAAAGAGGGGAAAAAGTTCATTCTCTCACATCTTTGTATATAGCTATATAAATCCTGGAAAGTTATTTGAATATTAGAAATTCTCTATTTTTATCCCATTATAATTATAATAATAAAAAGTTGTCATTATATTTCAAACCAACTTAGTGTTCAAGAAACAAATTGAAATAAAAATTTTCATTATCCTTATATAAAATCACCTTCCTCCTCAAGGTTAAATTTCTGTTACATGGAATGTGAAATTCTTAGATCTACTCTCTTTTACTGTTTAAAAATCACCTACATTGCTAATTTATGTAAGCAACAACTATGTCTTCATTTTAAATAGTGACAAATTAGTTAACAGCGTCCCTGAGAGGCTAAACCTGCTGACTCATAATTAATGAAATGTTTTAGCTCTAGACATGCATTTTAATACATTAGTGAATGCTATTTAATTAGAAGCTTTTCTTTACTAAAGTACTATGGATTCCTCTGAGGAGTAGCAGACAACTGAGATGTACCAGCAATTCAATAGTAACCGATTAACTGGTAATTAAGTTTCCATTGGTGATCAATCATCCATTTTGCAGAGACAGCTAGGATTGAAGGAATCTGCTTAAAGGAGCAAATCCCAGTTTTAAACTAAAGGCCATTTCAAGTATCCCATTCTAGAGGTGACTACTCTTCAGGGTCAGCTTCTGTGCTTCTTTTATTCCTTCTCTTGCTTGATCTTAATTTTTTCTTTAATTAGGTGGCATCATGGAAACCTTAAACACTCAAAGACCAGTGCTGGTGGAGTGATGATGGGTTCATTGGGATATAAAGCAGTTTTCTGTGAATGGAGTAGAGTCTTTGACTGTAAACTAGTAATAGCCTTCTATCAACAAGAGGCCAGAAATTGTCTTATTCATCTTTTATCCCTACTGTGTTTGGCGCCCAGCACACAGTCTGTATTGATGACAGCTTGCTGAAAAATTAATGTATCTGCAAAGTGACCACATAGCCCATGTGCCCCCCCCAGCGTGCTTTGCGGTCTGCCTTTCTGAACAGGTAAGCAGGAAACGGAGGTGAGCTGGCTCTCAGAGTGTCTGAAAACCTGCAGGCACTTGCTAATCACTTTGAAATGAAAGAAGAATAATATGACCAGAACTTCAGCCTCTTGTTTCCGCATGTGGAAGGCATAAAAGTACAACTCTGAGTCAGAGCTGAGGTAACATTTATTTTGTACGCTTCCATGCTTCTCCTTCAGGAAATAGGAAGGTCTCTAAATGGTACCTCCAAAAGGACCGACAAGATTAACTTATGTCTCTATTTCTCCTCAAAACACATTCCTAAGTATAGAAACACTGCAAAATGCTGGAATAGGATTTACAGAACTCTTTGATTCTGAAAAATTGTACAGTTTGGAACAACAAAAAAACTACCATCATGCCAGGTTCAGGTGGCATTCGAATTCCTAAGCCAGAAGAACCTAACTGTTTTTTGTTCTTAATTTTCTCTGTAATTGAGATCTGTAGGAGAGGGGTAGGGGTATGATCTTCCAGAAAAATGTACCATTCCAGGGTTCACTGTAGGAGAGGAAACTACTCCTTGACTCTTTTTTACTGAGACTCATGATAAACTCAACGCCTGGGGTCAGGGTGGCAGGCACTGGCCTAGAGCCGCGTGCTGTCTTTGAGCCTGAATGGGACTTGAACTCCCGGAGAGCCGTGGTTTTGGCTCTCAGCACTGCAAAGACTACGCACTGTGCAAATAGCACCAAATCTCATCTGATTCACTGAGCCCCTTAGAGATTACGCCTGAGCGTGTGCTGCTTCTTTGTACGGGAAAGCTGGTGTGGCTTCTTCTTGCCTCTTTATGCACCGCGAGCTCTTAGCTGTGCTCCTGGAGTGGGGCTAGGTCCAGCTGGAAAAGCCACGACAGACCCGCTGCCCAGGGTCTCCTTGCCACTCATACTTCCCTCAAGGCCAGGAGGTCTTGAGCTTCGGGAGAAAACTGGGAAAGGCCAGTTGAATGCAGTGCTCTGGTTAAACAGCGGCTCTGGGGCACCACGGAGGTTTCACCGAAGCACCGGCTAGGGAGCCAGACTAACACTCTCCCCTTCGTAACAAAGGGAGGAAGAAGGAAGGAAGGAAGGGAGGGAGGAAGTCTATCTTTTTCCTGCACCTACGCTGTGCCAGGCACTGAGGCTGGGCATTTTCATGTGCAGGCAGACTCACAGCGTCCCTGTGAGCTTGTATCACTCAGGTTTTGGGAGGAAGCTCAGGGCAAACCCAGGGCACGGCCACAGCGCCCAGTTCACAGTGGACCTGGTGTTAGTGTTAG